CGATCACCATAAGTCAGTCCATCGAACTGAAGTTAGCAACTGACCTTGCAAGCCGTGATACCTTGGAGGTGGCGACTCTACCACGTCAGGACCAGCCAAATGCTTCATATCTACCACTGATGATCCAATCCCATTCACCATATAGTCTGAGGCTGAAATTAAACGCTCAACCTTTGAACAGCGCGAATTTGATGAGAACACAAGCAGTTCAAACTCACGTCCTCCTCGCATGTTATTACCACCAGGATGATCTATCCAGAGATCTGCACCCTGCTGTTGAACGCTCGCCTTTTTTCCTGCCGTGTAACCAGTATTTTTTGAATTTCTGCAACAATCTCTACGCATTAATACAGCACCAAAAGAACTAAAAGAATCTACTGAAACATGGGTTCTAAGAATACCCACCTTCTTAACGCGCACACCATAATAAGAATGATACAGAGAAGCACAAGAGCAGCAAATGCGACTACGATAGCAATGTACATCGGATTGGAGGTGAACAAGGCTAACAGATCATCCCATCGCAGGCCTGCTCCTTTTCCAGACGAAGGTACAACTGCCCCCGTCGGTCTAGAACCGCTTCCGAAAGGTTCCAAAGTCTGCACTGGCGAAAGCGGCCCATAACCTTGAACAATATCGTATATGGATTTGCTTAGTTACCAAGAATAAAAAATTGCAGGATATGTTAGAGTCCCTAATACCTTTCTCATTTCGAGCTTGAATTTTGAAGTAGTAAGTAGTTTTGGGAAGAAGATTTCGAATCTCATGACTTAGCTTATCGCCATGCACATAATGAATTTTCCAGTCCTTGTCGGCTTGCATTACACGGTCAGTATAATAAATCAGATATTCTGAAAATGTACAGATAAAATTTGAACCGCATGAATTTACGCAGTGAAAATTATCGCTGACTACCTACCTTCAACTTCACCATTTGAATATTTTGGTGGCTGCCAATTCAGCAAAACAGCATGAGGATCACCGGATGCAGCGGGAAGGACGGTGAGATCACGTGGAGAAGATGAAGGAGCGGACGCGTGGGTTCTAAATGAGACGAGGTGTAATTCTGCATAGGAGCACGAACTCGGACTGTGTTTTGCACGAGCTTACTTGTTCCTGGCTACCATACTCCAAGGGCTTGGAGTGGAGCCGGCCACTAGCGATCGAACTGCAAACTCGTATTCAGTGTCTGGTCGAAGACCGTCAATAGTAACCCACGACTCTGAGGAATTCATGTAGCGAACTTGATTGCCATCAACACTGAAATCACAACATATACATTTTCACTTAAATTCAGGCCCTTTTCAAACGTAAGAACCGCCTTTTTTCAACCAAAATTACGTCCGTTTCCAAACAATATTCATAAGCCGTTTTCAAACCAAACTCCCCATTCTTTTCAAACAATGTCACCACCTTACGCTAAATAGAATTCACCACACTTATGGTGAGGCTGCGCCCAGATCCTCTACAAATCACCGCCGGACCCTACTGGCGGCCCGCTCCACTGCACGCCCACTTGCTTTTTGCGGAATTTTGATATTTTTTTTCAAAATTATTGCATTTTTGGACTGCTGCGTGAAGCCCCGCCCAGTATGAGAGGCTCCGCCGTTTGGAGAAGCTACCGCCACTTTTCAAAAATGATGGAGTCGGCAGGTATAGAGGTCTTGCTGTCATGGATGCTAGGGTCTCGTTCGGTCAGCTCGGTAACACATTTGGCCTGATTTTCTTGTTCCGAGTGACGAACAAGACCCTAGCATGAAAGCCAAGACCTTATACTGCCGACTTCCATCATTTTGAGAAGTGGGCGGAGGTTCTCCAAAGTGGGCGGAGCCTCTTATACTGGGCAGGGTTTCACGCAGTAGTCCAAAATGCAATAATTTTGAAAAAATATCAAAATTCGCAAAAACATAGTGGCGTGGGCGCGGCGGGGCCCGCAGTAGTGTCCGGCGTGATTTGGTAGATGACTTGCGCAGCCTAATAAGTGTGGTGAATTTGATTTGGAAGGTGGGCGAATTCGATTTGGAAGGTGGGTGAATTTGGTTTGAAAAAGGGTGAATTTGGTTTGAAAAGGGGTGAATTTAAAGTGAAAATGGTATAAATAAAGCGAGCATATAAGATGCCTTAACAAGTACGGAAAAAGGGTCTTTTTTAATTTACTCTTTGAGAGTAATTTAGTAAGAGGTGCACTCACGAGAAATTCCAAACAGGTTACTCCCTAAGGCACGCTGATTTGAGCGAAAGGATATTAGAGCCTAAGTACACATAAAGATGAATTTTGTTTATTCGGTGCATGATGTCTTTGATTGGGAATTTATAGCCTTCTCAAGACTGGATAATGAATAGAGAGATTGACGGCAACGATAGGCTGGTAAGTGAAATGAGAAAGTAATATCTATCCACGAGAAAAAATAACAAAAACAATGAAAGCCCAACTTTCGGCGCCTAAGCAATTGAAAGAACTTAGGTTGGTCATCTTGACTATCGTTTGCAACGAATTCTAGAAAATCGGAAGCGGATTATCTTCTTGCTGCCTCTCACTTGTTACCTTTCGCCTCTGATATAGCCTATTTTCACCTGCTACTCACTATCGTCATCGCCTTAGCTTTACAAAGCTAAGACATGTATGACTTCACTATTTCTAGACTGAATTACCGTAATTTTTCTAAATACTTTAGTCACGAACCAAGGCCAGGTAGGCTAGAACTCTCCTAATCTGCCCTAGGAGCTAGAACTCTCCTAATCTGCCCTAGGACTGAAGCTGAAGCTTGAAAAGAATATGGTCATTCCAACACTCTATTACGGTCTTTTTTCCCTTACGAATGAAATTTCTTCGTAACAGTAATATGTTACCGATTGCTGTTGCCTTCCCGCTTCAGCAACTGGTAGAGAATGAATTGGTGCAGCGCCATACCCATCCTACCTGACACGCCCCCTTATCCGGAGCAGACAAAACTGTAGTTTGAAAAGTTTATAACGCACGGATAACTTCTGTGTTTGTCGGGTATCTTCCTTCATCTGTTAGTTATATTCCTTTCTTGCTTAAAATTTAAAAAGTAATGAAACCAACAAACTGACCTTGTGCTATAGCGCACCGTGTACATGGCATTGAAAGCATTTGGATCAGCTTCCGTCCACGAAACTCGAATACTCGTTGCAGAAACGGCCTCTGCATGAACACCGAGCGGTGTGCTCACAGGCATGGCCGACATCGAACCATCGAAGAACGGCATCGACGAGTGAGATAGAGTTCTGAAAATTGAATAGCAAGGTACTTTAGTTTCAATGACTCCATCTGAAGAACACTAGAGAGACTAGCTTGAGGCGGAGTTAGAGCGAAACTTGTCAGAGCTTGGATCAAAGTGGCTCTACAGCCTCGAAAACAAGCGAATACTTACTTCACAGTTTCGTAAATCGGAAAACCAGAGCCCTGCTTGTTAAAGGCGCGCAATGAGATCACATATTCTTTAGCTGGACGAAGGCCAGTGATTTTATGTTGCAGAACGTTGGCACCAACACGCTCCATGGATATGTCAGGAACATTGATTCCCCAACCAATCTGAAAAAAATATCACAAATCAAATCCGAAAGATGACTGAGGATGAAGATGAGCTACCTGATATCCTCGAACTATATTACTTTCGTCAGCGGGAGGTAACCATGAGATAACAATGTAGTCTACTCCAGCTTGTG